GAGTTCCACATAGTTTGTTAAGTTAGAAATTAGTTGCATTTTATCTTTTTTTTCCCCTTGTAACCATTTCTGACTTTTACACTTTATTACTTGTATTCTCTATCTCTTTGTGGTTAATTTTATTGTTTTATCTAATCCAGTGTGTTTAAACTGAAGTGTTTAGGAAACTCCATTGGGGATAGCAAAATGTGTGCATACCTTTTCCACTGATGAAATAGCAGACCTATTTAAATGTGTATTGTCCAGGAGAGGGCTGGACAGTACAGGACATACATTTTTTTGGGGGGGAGGGGGAAATCTGGGATTGGTGTTGGGGCTACCCTGCAGTATAATTCAGCCTGGTAAGAGCCTTGGTTTGGCTGGCTGGCTGGCTGGCTGAAGCATGCACACAGACATAAGTGGGAGTGACATACATGTGTTTGTGAGCAATCCAGGCTGGAAGCTACAGCAGCAAAGCAGTGTAATTGGCACCCCAGGTTGGAGGACAGGGGTGACACCCCTGCTCAGTCTGGATTGTACCCTGGGTATGTCACAATGATGTGAAAACATCTTGACAGAAAGCCACTGTATATATGTGAACAGTAAATCTTGTATCATTTTAAATTTGTTAAATTATTTCTTTTCTTTCTGTTTTGGGATGGGTTGTTGGGTGTAACAATTTTAGGCCTTATCAGGATGCTGAGCAAAGCAGAGATGGGGGTGGTATTTGGAGCTGGGCAAAACCTAGTTATGGGTTGAGTTAGAACTCCATTGAGATTGATAGGTGTGCACTCCCCCTTCAATTAATATCACTGGAAGCTTAAACCCCCACCTAAGACAAAAGGTGTGTGAGTGAACCTTCCCAGTAACTTTTGGCTGAGTATTGTTTTGGGTATGTGTGAGTGGGGTTGGGTAACAGGGAAGACAGTTCACACAGAAATTGAGAACAAACAAGAACAGAGAGAAAAGGAGAAACAAGAAAGTCAAGCAGGAGCCTGGAAGCACAGTGTGACCCTGGAAAAAGCTAGAAGAGCAAGCGCTTTAGGATCTGGCGTTGGCTAAAGAGGCTTTGAGGATGAAACTGCTCCTTTTCTTCTTGGCTCCTTCTGTGTTCAGAGACACAGGACTTCATAAATTCCTTGTACATAAATAAGATTGCATCCAAGAAAATACCAGACTCCATCAACTACTATTTCCATCTGGAACATCCCCAGGGCCTTGAACTTGACTAGCCGGTTGGGTCAAAAAGGGGCAATGATAACACAATAAATTATAAGCCCTAAGGGTTTAACTGGGATATGTAGCTCTTGTGTTAGCTCCCTGTACAGGCATGACTGTCACTCTGATTCTATTTTTAGCTCTTATGCAAACATCACAGCTAATACTTTCCTTCTCCAAGCTCCTCAAACCAATTTTTTTGCTGACAACCTGAAGCCCTAATTTGCAGTGCCAGCAAAGTAAAATAGTTGATAGCAAGAATTTAAATTTAAAAATTTAAATTCTAGCCAGCCATTACCCTTAGATATAATGAAGTTAGTTATTAACTTTTTAAGGGGTGAGACAGGAAGGCTGCATGAATCACATTTTTTAATGATCTACCCTGCCCCTGATTAATACCAGAGGTGCTTCGTTAAGTATGCATAGATGTACTGTACTTTGTGTGAACTAGGAAAAGGAATGTCAAATTCTTGCGTGTGTATTTCCAAAAGCCCGTTTCACTGTTCTCCCCCGGAAGGGATAAGCTAAGATGTCTGACTTTCAGTCCCCTTTAAAGTGATGCATTACGGAAGTCAGAACCAACCTTGACAGAACACAGAGGTTTGTTATCACTTGCTGCATGCTCAGGGAGTCAGGACTGCTCGGTGAGGCTATATTCACATTAAATTGCTTTTTTTCTTTAAAAAGCTGGCTAGAAGTGTCACAGAGTGAAACAAAAAGTGCCATTCAAGGAATACAAATCCTAAATGAAACTCAGATTTAGCCAGATATCCAAAAATATCAGATAATGAACAAAAGATCAAAAAACTTCCTGAACAGAGTTCAGAATTCTTTGGCAGTCCTGTTATTCTGGGGCCACTGATGTAACAAATGAACAGAAATCAATGCTAAAGCCTATACCAGTGAGTTCTTTGAGCCTGTGGACCAAATGGTCTATTGCTGACAGGTTTTCTGCAAATCCGTTGGGGTCTCAGCTGCAAATCCACAGGGCCATGGTGTGCAAATTAGCTATTCGGGCTACACTGGCAAAGACAGAGAAAGCAATGTGCAATCTGTTATCCTGTCTAAATATCTGTGGCATAAACAATCACTTTATAATGATTACAGTTATTTGATCCTGCAATTTAATTGTGTTATAAAACCCTATTTATTATGTAGCTGCATGGTTTATAAGAGCCGCACTACAAAAGACTTGGCATGGTTGGAGCCTATATGTTTGTCAGTAATTTGCAAGGCATGCCTATTAAATACTAATTTTGAAAGAGTGTGAAAAGACTGTCAGGAAAAAGTATGCTTTGTTATACATAAACCAATCCAGCAAAATTAGCAGTATGAGGGCTTTTTAGGAAAACACTCCAGTGAAGAATTCACCACCCTATGCTGAGAGCTGCAGAGGCTGAGGGAAACAAAGAAAAGATAGAAATGTACATCCTAATCTAATGCAGTTTAGGAAACTACTATGCTGTCAATTTACTGAGCTGTAGATGTAGAAACAGAATGGAGCCTTTCAATTCTGCTGCCTTCTCCCTGGGGTTAGAGACTGGTTGCCATGGATATCCTGGATTCCTGCAGCTAATGGGAGGGAATTCTGTAGCTGTGGTATCCTGGGGACTGTCTAGGGTGAAACATGAAATGGAGGCCTATGGGTGTGGTGGTGCAGTACTCCAAAACAGAAGGTCAGAGGGTTGGCTTCCAACAGCGTTAAAGCTGAATTTTATTTCAAGTCACATTCATTTGGCACTTTCTGTATTCCTGAAAATCAGACCTTTTTGTACTTCCCCTACTGTGCAACAGAATCATCATTGCCTTTAAATGGTTACTATCACAGCACTAACTATTGTACATAATTAGATGTGCACCAATGGTTCGCAGGATTTTTTTAACCATACTTTCAAGCGTTTAAAAAAATAATAATAATTTAAACTAGGTTTGGTTTTAAAACTGGTGATTCCAAAACATGAAGCAGCAACAAAGCCTGCATTTACAATACAGGTGTGAGGTGTGTGTGTGTGTGTGTGTGTGTGTGTAAAGAGAGAGAAAGGAAATGGGATGTACTAGAGATTTGTTTTTCATTTTTAAAATACTAGAGCCTGATCCCGCAACTCTTACTCCTGTGGGAAATCCTTGCACATGAGAGCAGTGCCACTGACTTCAGTGGAACGTACTTGTGTATATAAGGATAACTCATGTGAGTAAAAATGTCAGGATCAGGCCCTTACACTGTGTCTGTTTGTTTCTTACTCTGCTTCTCACACACCGCACCCCTAAACCTCTTCCATTTTTCTGCCTTTTAAAAAATGAACCATGCTCATGTTTATGGGAAAACAAATAATAACCCTCTGTTTTGCTGGAATGGTAGGATGAAGTAAAGGAATGATATTTGGCTATGGTATTAAATACTGATGTGCTGCTGAATGAATTTAAACCCTGCCCTTCATAGTTCTCTATTTGCTAGGGTCCTCTGCTGCTGTAGCAATTAAATTCAGATTCCCCTCTGCCTTCGCTGCATTGCTATACAGCATGATGAATTACACTGCGGGTTAACTGAAGCTGCTCACTGATTTCTGTCTCAGTCTAATATATATACAGGAACCGGTAATACTGTCAGCTCATAACTGTGTCCTGGTTTTAAGGTGTCATGTATTCTCTGCCTAGCACTCAGCATGGGATGATAAGATGAGGGCTGTGGAGGTAGGACTGGCCTCAGTTGACTTGTGAGTCATGGGAGTGTGTCTGAGAGCGGTGCAGTGATGACAAACCAGTCTCACTGAGGACAGAGGGCTCTTTTTATTTTTTAAAAACCATCATTATCTCTTTATTAAATTTTCATAGAAATACATAAAAGATTTTTTATCCCCCATAGTGTGCTCATCTCTCTACAAAACATGTAAGAAGGCAACATTCCTGCTCCTAGAGGCTTATAAACTAAGGCTCCGGTCCTTCACTTATGCACCTGCTTAACTTTATGCATCTGAGTAGACACTGCGTCACTATGTAACTGAAGTCACGCATTTGCAGGATTGGGGCGTAATGGTTCAATCCTGCAGAAAATTGCCCCCAGACAATCCCAATAGATCAATGCAAGTATTCAGGAATAAGGACTACTTTGGGGATAAGGATTTTTAGGATGGGCCCATAAATAAAATTCATTACACCACAAACACATAAAATATAGCAGATGAGAGAATGAAGGGCTATGG